GTTCTAGGCAAGGCAACAAAAAAAAAAATGTAATGAGTAATAAATAAGTCCTTGTTAAGAAACTAATCACAATTCTTGCAGATTTCAAATCCACACATAGTATCTAAGCAGTTTATACATAATTATGTCTCACTAATGTAAGTAATCACACAACGTTTGCAGATTTTAAATCCACACATGGTATCCAAACAATGTATATTTAATTATGTCCCATTAATAATCGCACAACGTTTGCAGATTTAAAATCCATACATGGTATCCAAACATTGTATATATAATTATGTTCCATTAATGTAAGTAATCACACAACGTTTGCAGATTTTAAATCCTCACACGGTATCTAAGCAGTTTATTTATAATTATTTCCAATTAATCTAAGTAATCACTTATCAAATCAGGACTCGGTGGTTTTCTAGATTTAGAAGACCACTATATAAAGACCAGGAAAGATTGTAATAGAAGTAGATATTGGTTCTAGTTTATGTTTCTGCATTCACATTACGTTCTTTGATGATATCCCAGGTCCGATCACTACCACAACTAGAACATTTATAAAAAAAAAACGCATTATCAACTCTTCAGCCGAAGGAATCTTGACCTTTCTATACAATAAGTATTTTGTTTATCTGTTTCTTTTCGGATATTTGCGGAAAGCCACTCTAGAGCTGTCTGCGCTATCCATTCCAGATTTTGAATTGATAGATTAAAGGAAAAGCATTTAGTCAACAGCTCCATCGCCAATTCTTGGGCTACTTTTGATTGACTAAATAGTGGGAACTGATCGTCACCCTTATAACGATCCTACAACCCCAAAGTGCGCAGCGTGTTTTTTTCTTTTTGGCAGTAACGGGACGTGAACAATAGGTCCGGGAGGTTAACTTGTTAAAGTTTTTTTTGTGTCATGTCTAAAATTATGTATATCACTTATACTTGATAATATACAATCTCGTTTATTTTTTTAACTTACAATAAAAACTTTGATACTGAAGAACAATAGCATTTTAGGCTGCTTTACTATGGAGAAGGGTGCATGGGTAACTTGTGAAAGTGATGAGAAATAAAACTAGATAGGTAGGTATACGAGCTTTAGGTAATCTATGCGCCCTTGAAACTGTAATAGGATTCTTAATATTTGCACTAAAACTAACATAAGACTACAGTTTTTCTTCTTCTTCTCACCATTTCTCTTAACTTGCCTGTTATGAATTTTAAATCGGAGATTTATGGAAACGTAACCGACATATTAAAAGGAACACAAAAACAAAAATTCCTCCGCCCTAACGTTATTTTATTGTCACAAGTATTAAGCCTATTAACTTACGATTCTTCGCCATCAAGACCATATGTTTAATTCTCATATAAACAGCTTCATTAGCTATAGGCCTTTATTTACCTGTTATACATAGAGTTAATAATTTTCTTTAGGTTATGTTGGGGCACTTGACTAGCAATCTATGGTCTCAGGTTCGAATCCCCGTCCCGTCAAAATGCTTGCCCTTTCAGCCGTGGGGGCATTATAATGTGACGGTCAGTCTCAATATTCGTTGGTAAAAGAGTAGCCCAAGAGTTGGCGGTGGGTGGTGATGACTAGCTGCCTTCCCTCTAGTCTTACACTGCTAAATTAGGGATGGGTAGCGCAGATAGCCTTCGTGTAGCTTTGCGCGAAATTCAAAAACAAACAAACAAAACATATAATTTCAAAATACGGAGCGCAATTTTGAGTTAACGAGCTATGAACCATAGATTTATAGTCAGATAGACTGACCACAAGTAAACGCTCAGTCATTCAATATTAAGAAATTTTATTTGAGCATTGAAGTATTCTTTACTATAATCTGATTTTTTCTTTGAGAAAGTTAAAAGTAACACTGTTAAAATTACATTTTTAGCAAGATTTAAAAAAATAATAATCATAGTATTTCAAATGGTCTCTTCTTAGGTTTTACGAAATATTACTAGGCTATAGATAATTATTTCCTTAACATTATGAACAATTGTTTTTGTTTGTTTTTTTTTGTTGTCATAATTTTCTATTTAGACCCGCTACATTCTAACGCTCAAAATCCGCAAATTATCTGTGTGTTTATGTGAGGTAAAGTGTCTTTAATTTAGATATCGAAAAAAAGCGTTAACTGTTGCTGAAAAAATTCAATTTTTTTTCTGTAATAAACACACAAGAAAGTAATTGAGTTGTAAAAAAATCTTGTTTTTATTTCAATTTCGTATGAGTAGATTGGTTATTAATCTCTTTCGTCCCCATGACAACAAGTAGACCGTTCGCATTTCTTCCAATAACATAGAAATAAAAAAAAAGTTTAACAGCAGTTACTTATTACTTATGGAAAGGATGTCTAGTTCATCTGGGATCATGTAGAGCCGACTTTAAATAATTACAGAAATCTTAATGGTTTTACACGTTGGTTTATTTCATCTTATGTAGTCACAGTTGTCAGTGGTACTTTACGTACAGCTATTTCAGTCCCAGCAATAGTTTAAAGATTGTTTGTTTGTTATGGATTTCGCTAGTTATCACCAACTCTTGGACTACTCTTTTACTAACGAATAGTGGGATTGACCGTCACACTATAACGCCCCACGGCTGAAAGGGCGAGCATGTTTGGTGTGACGGGGATTCGAACCCGCAGATTGCGAGTCGAGCGCCCTAACCACTTGGCTATGTCGGGCATAGTTTAAAGAAACAATGTAATTTTTCCAAAGCAAGTTGTAAAAACAAATGTAGTTTTTAAGTAGCAATCTGGAGCTTAATAAATTGTTTATTCTTGTGCACTACATTGGAAATGATTAGAAATTGTCTTATTCTGTATTGTTTGCGTTATAATGAAGTGTTGATATTAAAATACCATTATTGGAGAGAATTTGTAGGCATATATAATTAATCTAATAAATTTTAATTTGTTCCTAGAGATGAAAGTAATGAAAATAAATTCAAGTGTGGTGACTGTTTATCGCCTCACGCTCGTCGACTCATCTTCTCTCGCCAATCATATAAGAATGAAAAGCTTCGGTCAGCCGCTACTCATCCAAATCTTGGTAAGGCCTCAGGTAAAATATATCATCTTCGAAATACTGGAGTGTAAAAGCGGAACGTGCCAAATAAGAGGTGGGGGAGGAACTGTGTCCGAGAGTGGGTTTTTTATTAGACATACCTGTTTCCTTAATAATATGATATAAAACACTCGTTTCTACATATTTTTGTCACGAAACAGATTGGTTTTAATTGAGGTGTAGGTCAACTACACTAGATATGATTAAAATTCGTTCTATTTGACATTCCTCTGTTTTATTTCTGTATGTATATATATATATAAAATAATTTCTGCTCTTCGAAGTTGGGCGTCCTTTTTTTTAAACTGGATTAAAATCAAAAAGAGATTAAACTTGCGTATATTTCAAAGGAGGGGGTATCTTTAACTGTCTGTTTCTTTGTTTCGAATATTTTGTTTTGTTTGTTTTGAATTTCGCGCAAAGCTACAAGAGGGCTATCTGCTTAGCCGTCCCTAATTTAACAGTGTAAGACTAGAGGAAAGGCAGCTAGTCATCACCACCCATCGCCAGCTCTTGGGCTACTCTTTTACCAACGAATAATAGGATTGACCGTAACTTTACAACGCCCCCACGGCTGAAAGGGCGAGCATGTTTGGTGTGACGAGGATTCGAACCCGCGACCCGCAGATTTCGAGCCGATCGCCCTAACCACCTGGCCATGCCGGGTCGTGTGTTTCGAATATTCACACAAATATACCCAAAATACTCTAACCGTTTCTAATCTTGAAGAAACAGACTAAAGGGAAGACAAATAGTTAACAGTGCCCGTCGTCAAGTCTTTTCAAATCGAATAGTCACTCTTATAACGCATCCACCATCCCAAATTGCGGAGCGTGCTTATGCAGCAAGGAGATGCGATCATGGATATTACATATTCACCATCTAGCATGTTAATTACCAGGCCACGCCCTTGGCTGTTAGACCTACAGTTCTACATTAGTCCAAATATTATAATTTAGGATTTACTACCAAATTATTTCTGTACTTTCTGAAAGTTGATCTTTATATTTTAATGCTGGTACTATGTCGGAAAACACTACTGGTGAGCATGAAACAAATCTAAAAACATTGGCTTCACTTTTAACTTTAATGTGAATACGAAAATATTATGAAACGATAATATAAGTTGTCAAAATTAAAATTACTTAATTAGTTATATTATTTTCCTTAGTTTTTCCAACAAAATGTTAGAAACAATTATTGTACTCCACATTTTCAGCTGTTTTAAGATTTAATATTATCCTAAATTCCTTACTTCTATTCCGAATGTCGTATATCTTGCTTATTAATAGAATTATCTATTACTCTTATTTGTTGGTATAATTTGGATATTCCAGAACTATTGTTGTTTTGCAGCTTTAAAATCGCTGTTTAGAAATGTTGCTTTGAAAATTTTTGATATTTATAATTGTCCTTTACAATTATGATTGGTTTGATTGTATTGCTACTAAAATTATACTTTTTGTGATATAGATACATACACGAAACAAAACTATTTTATGTAAAGTTCGCCATAATCAATCTGGGTTCATGAGAACTGACATAGTTTGAAACTATATCCTAGTCCCTAGCTCATTAAACAAAAGTCAGTACGACTTATAGTTATTGAGACGTTGTTAGTTTCTTGTAGACAAAAGAAAGTCAGTACGACTTATATTTATTGAGACGTGTTAGTTTCTTGTAGACAAAAGAAAATCAGTACGACTTATATTTATTGAGACGTGTTAGTTTCTTGTAGACAAAAGAAAATCAGTACGACTTATATTTATTGAGACGTGGTTCAAATGAAATGTTTCGGTTAAATCACAGGAAAAATAATTTAAAAATTAACTAATAAATAAACAAAGACAATCATTTATAACGAATTGACTAGAAAAACCTCTTGTTAGAAATTTATGTATCATAAAACTAAATAATATAATTGTTAGAATGCATTGAATTGTCAGTTGGGTACCCTCACTGCTAACGATGTTTTCGGTCGTAATCCCAACAACCAGCCAGCTCAGTAAATTTAGGTTAGTTCCAAATTTGTACACTAATAATACAACAATGAAAAGTGATCTTGACAATACTATACTTATTAAAAATCGTTAAAACCAGTAAAGTTTAATGAAAATGAAACTAACTATGAAGAAACTGGAATAGGTTAGTAATACGTTATGCTAGTGTGTAAAGCAAACATTTGAGATAATGAGTTACTTTTGTCAATAGAAAACATACAATTTTATTTTTAACCTAACTAAGTACGTAGCTTGCTCTGATCAAAGTTAGTACTGGTATATGGCACAACTGGTTCTAATTTTTATGCTTAACATGAATATATATTCATATATAAACATGTCTATTTCGTTCTTTTATTTAATTATATTTAATACAGGGCGATCACTGGAGCTTTTCGAACTACGAGATGAGGTGGAGACAACAAAAAGTAGTGTTGATCGATTAGATAACCAGTTCTCAACATTAACACACGACGTTGCAGTATTGAGCCAGGATGTAAGGACCACTCTTTCGTTATTACAACAACTATTCTGTCATCGGGGTGTAACGTCTTTGTCCTGTCATTCCTGTGACCTACCACAAAATGTACACACCAGTGCTGCGCCATTCCGAACTTTGAGTCAGCCTTCAGGTTTGGCTTCAGCAGAATCTCCTCGTAATTCCAGGATTTTCAACAATAAAAAGTCAAGTGGAACACAAACCGATCGTTATCTCCTCCATTGTCTTCTAGGTAAAATCGGTGATTACAATTCGCTACCTCCTAATTCCGGTTATTCTCCTTGTTCTTCAAATGGTGAACGAGTCCGATTTATTGTTGGAAACAATGAAACGGGAGGAAGATATGACTGTGAAAGAGTAGCAGAAGACAGTGTCCCCAGGAACACATTCCTGGTAGGTAGTACCACTTCTCCACGAAATATTACCTCACCTTATGGAATGACTGCTTCGTGGAACACGCAAGAGAACGGACCACCAGACTCTTTACCATCTCCACAATCACAAATACTACGCTCACCAGTGAAAGAAAGTCATAAACAAAACCACAATGAAGCAAATAATGAGGCAAAATCGATAAAAAGACATCTTTCCACCGAATGCTAGTAACAGAACTTGAAATGATTCTTATATCTAGGGACAAGTTCCCCTCAGAAACAAATAAGAAAAATAACTCATTACACCATGTTTTTGCACCTCACACGAAGTCAACCATTAGGGTACTTGTAGGTAATATGTAAAAATGTCATATGTATAATAAGCGTGATGAGTGCACAGAAGACATTACTCACTCCTCGAACTATTTACCATAGAATTAAAATGCAATTCTGTATGAAACTAAAGGGTTTTCTCTCCCTTTTAATCTTAACAAATTGCTTAAGTGGAAGATCCTAGAAAATATATACTATTTAAACTTTCATAATCAAATCATATGTTTAGGTCTTCATTTCGCTGTCTTTAGGCGATATTAAGCCTTCTCTATACTCTCTGTTGAGAAGATTTCAATTCAAGTAATTCTATCTAATTTTCTTCTAATAAATCTATTTACATGTTTGTACATATAAAGCTCAAAAATGCTTTTTAGATGTTCAACTAGAACTTAAAACCCATGTTTTGCAAAAGATAAGCGTAAGAGAGTTGTATGAAGTTACCGCAAGAGTTTTATAAATTTTGTTTTATATTAATAATTGTTATGTATGAGGAAAAACTTTTCCTGTGAAATTTTGTTCCGATCTCTTTGCGTTGAATTGAATGTAAGAAAATCCTGAGAAAATAACTTTTATTACCTACGTTCCTGGTGTATTAATGCTTTTAGTTTGTTTGTTTGAAGTTAAGCACAAAACTACACAATGGGCTATCTGTGATCTGCCCACCACGGGTATCGAAACCCGGTTTCTAGCATTGTAAGTTCGCAGACATACCGCTTTGCCACTAGGAGGCATGCTTTTAGTTTCATACGAGTTTAACAGAAAAATCTAGCGTGCAATAAGTTGAAGCTCGATTGATAAACAGAAATGCAATATTTGTAAACTTCAACACTGAGCTGTTGTTGTTATTAAGCACAAAGTTACATAAAGGGTTATCTGTGCTCTGCCACCATACGTATCGAAACCCGGTTTCTGGCAGTATAAGTCCGCAGACATGCTGCTGTGCCACTGGGGGTAGACTGAGCTGAATGACATTCGATGAGAAAATGTACGAAGTAATTAGCAACATTTCACCTGGTGTGAAAACCATTTAATTTACGAGCTTAATCTTCTTCTTCTTTTTTAAACTTCTAATATGAACATTATTTGTTTTCAAAATATCTTTGCTTTGAGAAAGTAATAAACTTTATGAACTTAACAAACGAGTTAGAAAAAATATTGAAACTAAGATATTTGTTGTGAAATATTCAGGTGAGTTTATTTTTAGGCTAAATTACTCGAGATTGTAGATAACTTAGTTTATAGTAAAGCATGTTTTAATTAAATCAGTATATTCTTTTTTTTTTAGAAAATTATATTAGCGAAAAAATTTCCCGTGGAATTCCATTGGAAACAGTAAGAACGCAAACATGTTTGCAAGTATTGTTATATATTACATTGGAAACAGTAAGAACGCAAACATATTTACAAGGAATTCCATTGGAAACAGTAAGAACGCAAACATGTTTACAAGGAATTCCATTGGAAACAGTAAGAACGCTAACATGTTTACAAGGAATTCCATTGGAAACAGTAAGAACGCTAACATGTTTACAAGGAATTCCATTGGAAACAGTAAGAACGCAAATATGTTTGCAAGTATTGTTATATATTATTAAGTATTTATAAGCTTTTGTCAATTTTCAAGTGAATCTATACAGCCAATCCTAAGAGCTACCAAACAACCGTGACATCCCAACTATGAAACGTTTTCAAACCCGCACAGAAATACTTATTTTGAACAATTCATGGAGCCAGCGAAAAAGCCATAATACCCCTTTCACCCCCATAAGGGGGAGGGGAACTTAAATTAAAATTTCCGAAATCTGAATTTAGATTATTGCTTCGAACGTCTATGTACATGTTGATATCATTTTTCAAATAAACTGGTTTAATCAAACTCAGGAGCATTTTATCCTGATTTTTGGACCCCCTCCTCCCTCACGACTGTTAAGAATGTTTTAGTTTATATTCAATGGAAGTCAAATATTACATGTAAAAGCTCAAATAATTTTGTCAAGAATTATGGAAGGTGTTCAAAAATTAAGTAAATTTCGATAGATACGTAAATACAATTACGAATCAGTATATAGATAATAATGACTATCGGAAACTTGAATGTAATTGTTTGTGCTGAAAAGAAACTATAAACGTCCGGTATTTGGACATAAAACTTTAAAACTCTGTAATTTAAAAAACGTTCATCTACTAACATTTCTAATGATTTAATTTATATCTAAAAATAAACTTTAATTATTAAAAGTAAAATATATTGTTTTTTGTAAATAGATGGTGCTGACTGAAAAAAAAAAAACTCTGAACATACTAAAAAATTAGTGTCCTTTTATTCTATTACAAAATTTATATTCTATATATGAACATTTCGGTTATACACATACATCAAGATACAAGAGGGAATAACTCTCGCGCAACTGAAGATATGATTTGAAAGTCTGTTTTTGTTTGTTTCTTTGTTTTTACACGCGTCAATTTTTACACAAATCTATGCTGTTGTATTTTTCAAAGCTGTACATTGTTTATTCAACAAAACATTATTCGCCTAAATTGTTTGACGTCAAAACCCCCGCACTAAGACAACAATGTCTGGGGTAAATGAAAGAAAAATAGATTAACGAAGTCAAACAAAACAATAACCCGGAAGACATCCTTTGTTGTTGTAGAATAAAGTGTAATCGATAAACAACAAGAATATTTGTTGGTATTTTATTCATAATTATTCGTACTATAATGTAACGTCAAGTTTTACATTTTTTGGATCTCAGTCAATATATATTTTTTTAGTTTTAGTAACAGTTTGTTTGTTGTTAGTCACAAAGTTACACAATAAGATATTTGTGCTGTGCCCACCACGGGTATCGGAAAAGGTGTCTGTGCTGTGTTGCCAGAGGTATAAAGCCCCGATTTTCAGCGTTATAAGCCTTCAGACTTACCATTGAGCCAATGAGGGCCTTTAGCAACAAAATTTCGTCAAAGATTCTTTGTTTTCAGTGGGTCCGCTAGGGGTAGAGATATTAATTAAACTTTATATATATATGATACTTTTAGTTGTATTTATTCATAGCTGAATTGTATCCGCCAAATTAGGATGAATTTTCTACCTTGTTCAGTAATTGTCCAAAATACCAACACATTATTTAAAGTTACAAAGTCTTAGTTTGAATGTCAAACTGGTATCTTGTACATTAAATCACTTCTATAAGGAAAACCAAACCCAAATTGCGCAGTTTGTTTGTTTTTCAAATGTGTGTGATTTGAACTACGCAGTTAATAATTGTATAGTTAAATTAATACTATATTTGTAGCAAAATCAAGTATGTTCACGTTAATATCGTACTTTTATTTGGATCACTTAGAAAAAAACACTTGCGCCATAGGATCGGTTTGTAAACATTGTTTTACGAAAAGGTTTGCAGCCCCAGAAACCATACTTAAAATCTTATTGATTAGCTGCTTCTAGGACTACTTTGAAGATTTAATTATATCTAGTGTATCTCTCTGAACAGGCAATCGAATAATGAAGGTAAATATAGAATGTAATGTAATTGAACTGAGTTTTAAGTTTACTTACTGTCTTATATACATATATATTAAATAAACATATGGTGTTCCTCTTAAGTAGCAAACATTAATTTTATACATTGTGGATCCACCTTACATGGGAAATACTGTAGTGCCATTTATTATATCACATATTTTTGGGCATTCTAAAACTTTAGTCAGTAACAAATGTTTATTATCAAAATAAAATATGGTTCCTCTACAGTATATTATAATTTTTACGATTTACAGTGTAATTAATGTACCAAGTTTCTTTTCTACGCACAAATATGCTTTTAATTAAAAAAAGAAAATAAGCAGCATTTTTTATTTCCTTTTTTCACCTTGACACCACCTGGTGGTGTTTTCGTGACTAAAGATCGACTAAGGTTTATGTTTCTTAGAGAATAAGTCTTGAGTTAACAAATATGTGAGCTTCGTAAAGATTGCAGAAAGAAATCTCTCGTATTAATGGAAGCATAAACGAAAGTCGATTATAATTTTGTTTCCTGACATAATATAATTATTATGATTATTTATTTTAAGCTGTGAAAAGAGTATAAGAAAAAAAGAGAGTTTCAAGCTTGTTTCGTGCAAGAATCCTGAAAGAAACTATTACCTGTAAATACTTGAAATATCTAGAACATGTGTTTCTTCTCAAATTATATCTTCTTGTTACATAAGTGTAATGAATCGTTTAAACTGAAAGTGATGATTAAACGTTTCAGATTGTTTTTAAAACTAGTTGTTTAGTGGTGTTTGAAAATAAATATATATATATATATAAATTTCCAGTGTTGTATATAATTTCCACGTGAATATACAAAAGTTTCTTGTCCTATTATTCCGGATGTATAAAATCAAAATAAAGTTTTGTAGAAACTAAAACTGTAATGTAAATGTGTTTTGTTTTTCTATGGGGACTTAGAGATAGCTTTGGAAACACACATACATGAGTCGCAAACGATGAGTATATGAAATTAATCGATAAATTCGGTAATAGTACAAAACATTATCTCATAAAACAAAGGCGAATAAACTGTACAATGCACTTTGTTTGTGTGTGAGTTCTTTACACAGATCCTTACGACGGTTCTAAAGCTGTCATATAGCTTATAAACCTATGATAAGTGAATATATTTCCACACATGGGCATCCGCAGGGGGGAGGCAAGAGGAGGTACTTGCCCCACCTGGAAAATGAGAAACATAATTCTTTCTTTATTCATTCAGGCTATGTATATGAATTTTTTATTCAGTTCACAATTCCACACTACTTTGCCCCCCCCTCCCCTCTGGAAAAAATTTCTGCGGACGCCCATGTTTCCACAGGTCTTGTATTTCTCCCCACAATTCAGACAAGTTGTTTGGTAGCCTTTTTATCATTGTAGTTTTTACATAAGTCCATAAAACCTCAAGAATATTTGTATCTGAACTTTCTGGAAGCAAAGACATGATTGTGAGTGTTCCATTGGCCTCTTTACCATCAAGATGTCGTTTCACAACTTTTGCAGCAGTTGCCAGCAGTTGTGATAACACAAGTTTTGTGTTGACCACAGATACCGTTGACTGAAACGCAGCCCCAAACTTATATTGATCCCCCACCATGCTTCGCTGTAGTTTCTATACATTGACCACGACATCGTTCCCCTCTCAGCCGTCGAACAAACTGCTATTGATTGTTGAAAAACAAATCAAACTTGAATTGATTTGTAGTCCACGTATCCAGCTTTGTTCTTTCCACTGTGTGTGGTCCGATGTTCATTTTAAAACTTTTGATTTAGTTTCCTCAGCAGTTTAGCATTTAACACGAATTCTGGAATCATCGTTTTCCATCAGTTAAAGATGTTGTCCTGAAATACTTAACATCATGTTTGCAGAGCTTTGTTTTCCTACTTCGATCCATTCTATTATTAACACCTATTCACCCTCTTCAGAGTCTTGCGTACAGCTCCTACTGAACCATGGATATTTTCAATAGTTTTTCGCATGGAATATTAATGACCAGTCAAAGCTCTAACCGATACACATACTTGGAAGCCATTACTTGAATCGACTGTCCCCAATTTTGATCTGAGGGAAGACAGCTAGTCAACACTGCCAATTCTTGAGATACTGTAGCCGAATAGTGGGATTTGACTGTCACTCTTTAATTATAACACACCCATGGCCCCAAAGCGCAGAGAGCGTTTACACAACAGCGATTGCAACCAATTAATTCTGACAGTTACACGTGCGGTTCATTAATAATGAAATATATTTGACTGCAAAATAACACAGCGACTCTGAATTTGCAGATTACATCATTTTATGGTCGTCTGGCGAATGTTGTACTCTCAACTGAAATATACAATAGATTAATTGCTAACTTATGTACATAAAGCATACAATTAACTGCCATCTGGGTTTCTTTTTCAAGAAAAGTGCAGAAAATGAATAAGCTCTGTTCTTTATACAGAAAACTAAGGGAAATAGGGTATAAAATGCACATACTACGGAAATTATATCCTTTATCTCATGCAAGT